GGTCGGAACCCAACGAGGCAGTCGGTGCACGCGGAACCCAAGCGAGCTCCTGCCAACCCCAACCGACAAGGCAGCTCACAGAGTTGGACAGCAGTCAATGGACGCAAACGAACGCAGAAGCGTACCAGAGCTGACGCCATTACGTCCACGGAGTGGGCGACTGTACGTATGCCGACATGCTCAGGCTCGTGAAGGGCGACCCGGCCCTCAAGCACCTAAGTGGCGATGTGCAGGGCATTCGCAAGACCGCCAAGGGCGATCTTCTGCTGCGCCTCCACAGGAAGCCGGAGCACTCCACGAATGAGCTGCAAGAAGCTGTAGGAAAGGCCTTGGGGGACCGGGCAATAGTTAGAACGCTGACTGAGACGTCCCAGGTTGAGATCAGAGACCTGGATGAGTTGGCGACTAAGGAGGAAGTGCTCGAAGCGGTAAAAAATGCCCTAAAAGACGAATTCCTTCCGATGGAAGCGATCAAATCGCTGCGACCAGCATTTGGCGGCCTGCAAAAGGCCACAATCACTCTCCCAGTGCCAAAAACCAGAAATCTAGTCGAGAAATCTAGTCGGTGGTCTGCCGAATACGTGCAATCGACCAGCCAAAGAGATGCTTTAAATGCCAGGGCTTCGGGCATATCGCAGCGAACTGTACAGGCGGAGACGATTTGAGAGGCGCATGCTTCAGATGCGGGGATGCAGGCCACGAAGCAAAGGACTGCTCAAAGCCACCAAAAGTAGCCTTTGCACACGAAAAGGAGAAAAGTCAACGGACTACGCTACAGGCAGCTTTAAATGTCTGGGGTCCCGCGAGGCAGTACGCAAAATGAAATGTTAAGGTTACTTTAAATAAACCTTAACCACTGCATAGCTGCTCAAGCCCTCTTAGAGCAGACTGTTAGAGAAATGCGCATCGATATTGCCATTATCAGCGAGCCCCACCATCGAGACACTAACTGCCCAAGAATTTGGATCGCGGATCAGGGTGGAAAAGCTGCACTCTGGATATGTGGCGAACCTTCGACATCGCTGAAGAATATAAAGTCGCGTACTGGGTTTGTACGAGCAAAATACGGCAGCCTGTGGATTTACAGCTGCTACCTGGCCCCGAGCATGCAGCTTAGCGAGCTTCAAGCTGCATTAGACGCATTAATAGACGACGCAAGGGGGCGGAAGGTCATTATTGCTGGTGACTTCAACGCCTGGGCAGTGGAATGGGGCAGCCAAGCAACTAACGCATGAGGTCGTGCCTGTTGGAAACTTCGCAGCCCTGGATATAGCCCTGCTAAACTCCGGCTCGGAAAACACCTTTAGTCGGGGTGGCATCGGATCAATAATCGATCTCACCTTCGCAAGCTCGTCACTTTTCGGCGCAACTAAATGGGAATTAAGCGACGTATACACCGCAAGCGACCACTCCGCAATAATATGCACGATTGGTTAAGGAACTGTAACCTGAACGAGAAGCCTAAGTCGGAAAGCTTGCCGCTTGGACACTTTCGACCCCGTGACCTTTTCGAACGCAGTCCAATCGCTTGCGACAGCCGCCAACGCAGAGAGTAGTCAACTAACGAGTGCTTGCGACGAGAGCATGCAAATCCGGAAAAACTGCATCCAAGCCAGACGGAGATACCAGCGAGCCCGAGGCAGACCCAACTATGCCGAAGAGCAACTAGGGTATCAAAGGGCTAAAAAACGACCAAAAAAGGCCATACGAGATATGCAAGCGAGAATGCTTCCTTTAACTATGCGACTCAGCACAGTATGATCCCTGGGGCAAGGCGTATAAAACTGTCGCCAAAAGACTCTACGCCGGCAAGCAAACTCAGCCTTCCGACCAAAGTGAGCTTTAGTTGATTGTGGAAACGCTATTCCCAATCAGACCCGACGTAATACCCACACAAACCGGCCCATCCAGCCACGGAGCAGCCATGCCAGCTCTCATTGACGAGGTCTCAGTCGAAGAGGTGCTGACGATCGCCAGAAGTCTAAAGCCCAGTAAGGCACCGGGTCCGGATGGAATCCCCAACCGAGCGCAGAAGCTGGCCATGTCCTTGCAGACCGCGCAGTTCGTGCAGCTTTTTAACATGTGGCTAATGGGAGAAAACTTTCCCGTGGATATGGAAACTCCAAAAGCTAGTCTTGTTACCGAAGCCAGGTAAGCCGCCGGACGACCCATCCTCATACAGGCCGATTTGCCTCCTGAACACGTTGGGCAAAGTGCTGGAGAAGCTAGTTTGCACCAGGCTTGAATCAGCTGTCGACAACAATGGTGGCTTGTCCCAAAGCCAATTTGGTTTCACCAAGGCAAAGTCGACAATAGACGGTCTGAAAAAAGTGGTCGGCATAGCATACAAACGCCATCCAAGGATCGAGATGGAAAAGCGGCACAAAGAAGTACTGCCTCATCGTCACGCTGGATGTTAAAAACGCCTTTAACACAGCCAGATGGGAAAAAATATTGAATGCACTGTCAACGTTCCACGTCTCATATTACCTCCAGGAGATGATACGCAGCTACTATGCAGGAAGAGTTGCTTCAATATGACACCGCAGATGTCCCCATTACAAACCAAGTGTCCGCCGGGGTGCCCCAAGGCTCAGTTCTAGGACCCCTTCTCTGGAACATCGTGTACGATGGAACCCTCCGACTGGAACTCCCGATCGCCGACGACGTGGCCCTTCTAGTCGACGGCATTGAACTGAAGGACGTAGAGGAATCGTGCAACCACAGCATTGACCTTGTACACCAATGGCTGGTAGCAGCTGGACTCGAGCTGGCTGCTCACAAAACAGAAGCGGCGTTAGTCAGCAGCAGAAAAAAGGTGGAAACAGCGCACATAAAGGTCGGCAGCGCTGTAATAGAATCAGCGAGGGTGCTATCCAGGATTATGCTTAACACACGGGGACCGAAACAGCAGAGAACGCCGTCTTCTTAATGACCGTAAATAGAGCGGTAATAATGTACGCGTCTCCCATCTGGAGCAGAGCATTGGCTGTTCCTAGCTACAACCGAGGCGTAAACACTATATATCGCCTAAGCGCTCTACGGGTCAGCTGCGCCTTCCGGACGGTATCAGACGAGGCGGCTCTGGTTATCGCAGGGATGGTCCCGCTCAATGAACTGGCAACTGAAGCTGTAGTTTGCTATACAGCTCACAATGGAAACAGCACAGTAAACTCGATTCGCACTGAGGCAAGGATGCAGAGCATAGCACGATGGTAATCACGGTGGGATCGAGCATCTAAAGGACGCTGGACGCATAGGCTTATCCCAAACTTGGAAGCCTGGATAAACCGCAAGTATGGGAATACTAACTTCTATTTAACGCAGCTCCTATCTGGCCATGGATGCTTCAGGGGCTACCTGAAGCGATTCGGCCACGATAACACAGACGAGTGTTCTTGGTGCGGCAGAGAAATCGTAGAGGACGCCAATCACATTATATTCAAGTGTGGACGTTTCTCAGCGAACAGGCAGGAACTGGAAGACAGCATGGGTAGACCTATCACGGTGGACAACCTGGCTATGACCATGCTAGAAACCGCAAAAGTGGGAAGCAGCCAGCAGCTTCGCAGCAGAAGTAATGCTAGAACTCAGGAGAGTTGAGCGCCAGACGGAGAACGGAGGAAGTTTAGGTAGCAAGAACATGCCTGTGAAGCAATACTTCGTGGAGAAAGAGATGCCCACAAGCGCGCAAAGCAACAAGTAAGAGCGAGGCACACTAAGCTCATGCATACACACATATGAACTTGGGCTGTAAGGATTTAAAACTAACATATATATTTTAGAAGAAGCATCAGCCGCAGCGACGTTGTGCGCTGAGCGAGATGCGGCTTCATACTGAACGTTCAGCTTTCGAGGCCGGCGTTCGGCTGTAACTCTCAGCAGTCTTACTCTCCCAAGGCACAACAAAATGAGATTTATCGTGTTTCGATAACTCTGCTGTTTGACATATCTATGCATTGTATGGTTAGTGGCTCGACCGAATGTGTCCTGTTAAGATGTTACACCACAAACACGAAACAGATTACACAAGCGCAACGAAATAAAGTGTTCGATGAAGAGCGAAACCGAATCTGTTTCGATTTTTCGGTTTTTTTGTGTACGACCTCTGATATCATCAAACTATTTAAAAATACGTAAAACATACATGTAGTAACTACTTGTCAACATGGCATTCAATCAAAGTTATATAATTTTTTAAATATGGAATCGATTTGCACAAGGTCTTAGTCGAAAATTTTAGGTTGTTTGTACATTTTAAAAAATAATCCCGGTTTTATTATTTATTTATGCAAACGAAAATTTCCATTATGGGCACAAATTTGTGCAGTGTCATCGCGAATGTACATTTCCCAACGATTACGTAGTGATCTTTAGCAACTGAGAACTAGTAGAGATACTGCAGAACGGCTGCCAATTGTATGGGGTGCAATAAAAATCCATTCCTTATATGCGGTTGTACTTTCTCCATAATCATTTTGAGGGTACCGTGGTATTACCATAGTCGTGGGGCTAAATCTTCTACGCTTATATACAAAGGAATTTTTTACCTCTATTTGTTTGGCCAAAAAAAATATAACCAAATCAGCTGTAGTTGTCACCGGGTAAATAAATAATATCGATGACAAAACGAGAGCATCTATAAACATATTCAGGGGATATCGATGGAAACGCCAAACGTAAAAGTAAAGTGGAAACTGGAGTAATAAAATTTGTGCAAAACATTTAAAAATTTTATAAAATCAACTTTTTTATGCCATTACCTTAAAAGTTTCCCAGCCAATTTGAGCTGGCCATTGACGGGAACTTTTGTACATTTAAAACGTATGCATATCCCACAACCAATAGTTAACGCTACTTGTTTGAACTCACATCCAGTGCTTTTCAATGTCTAGGAAAACGCATCCATAATTAAAGCGTTCAATAAGTTACATTGATGATACAGAAATTCGATATTACTATCGAGCATGCCTGAAATCTTTCTAGGTGTTGGCTATCATTTGTTAAGTGCAAATGAGAACTTGTGTTGAGATTGATATACTGTGAAGAAGTTGAAACTATTAGCGATTAGTTCAGGTTTAAATATCAACATACGGAGTTAACTCCATATATTTGCTGAGCAGTTTGTTTTATACACAATATTGTCAAGTATAAAGATCTAAAGTAACTTATAAACTTGTTAAAGTTCTTGATTCAAAGTGGCTAGGTGTGTGCTCATTATTAAAATATATATTTTTCTTAGCTGTCACTGAAATAATACATATATATATACAACTCTATCATATATAGATACATTTATCTATCACATATAGATAATATATATATATATATATATATATATATATATATATATATATATATATATACAATATAAAATATATATATATATATATATATACTTATTTATATATTTATATATATATATATATACTATGTATTTAAATTTGTTCATATTACATATATCGTAAAATGTAAGTTTCGTTATATATGTTGGACTTTGTGTTTGACTGAATTTATTAATTTAAAAGTAAGTTCGGATATATGTATATAAATAATTGTAATTTTAAATATTTAAGTATTTAAAATTGATTTTTCTTTTGTATTTCTTTCTCGCTCTGTCAATTGAATGAAAACCCACTTTCTGTTGGTGCGAATGGGATAAATGCTCACTTACATTAAACTATGCTTGTCGCACTGACACTGGTTACATTCGAACCTGCTTTTGCTGCCATATATACCAATACTCGCCACTGTGAAACACTGGCTGTACTGCTTGCTCAAATTACTTTCCTCGTTAATGGCAGCGGTGGTGCAAAAATTGCCATTTTGGTGTACCAAAAAATAAGGGAATCGAAAAAATCAAGCAGTGGGTGAAAATAGACGGACCAAACGAACGGCCATAAGCAAAAGAGAAAATTATTTTACTAGACACAGTTAAGTGGATAGTTTAATATATTGAAAGTATAAGCGGAAATCTGCAATTAACCAAAACCAGTGGATAATAGGCTGAGGATCTTTGTGAGCAAAATTTATCCATCGCTAGCCAATACGATTAATAAGTTTTGCATTATTTATTATAGACAAAAAAGAGTCAAAAGGAGGCTTGCAGTTCACTGAAAGAACAGTAATAAGGCAATCGACGTGCATCACAAACGTTGGGAATCACTATAAAAAAGGGACATAAATACCACCGATTTGGTACGGAGCTCTAGGTTTTCAAATGCGCCCTCTTTCATGTGAACTTAAACCAAAAACCACTCATACTTCGCAAATTCATTAACTCGCCACAGCAGGCCAAGGCACGTAAGTGTTCCAAATAATTTATGTAAGTTTAACCAGCAGGAAAAATCGTGTACCTTAAAAAAATTTTATCCTTAAAATCTGAAGACAAATCATCTTCATTTGGAAATAATATATTACCGGTGAATGAACTAAGTCAACATTGCAGTATACGTTTTTGGAAGCAAAGGTATTCCGGCGTACATAAAGCCAAGAGATATCGAGGGAAAACACTGAAATTGATATATATATATAGAAACGTGAGTAGCTTGTAGCACATTTATACTGAATATATTTCAAACTAACTTAAAGTACATATTTAGCTTTGAACCCTGAACTACATCAAGTTAAACAGTCCATTTTCTAACGTCGTGTTAAGAAGTCCTAGCGCCACTAGGAGTGCAAAAGAGATAAAAATTTAAAGAAAGAACGAAACTTTCAAGAAAATTAAGATGAATGAATTAGACAGTCTAAGACAAGAAGCTGAGTCTCTAAAGAATGCGATTCGTGATGCACGAAAGGCTGCGTGCGATACGTCGCTTTTGCAGGCTGCCGCTTTGCTAGAACCTATTGGACGTATACAAATGCGCACGCGACGGACGCTGCGCGGTCACTTGGCCAAAATTTATGCCATGCATTGGGGTAATGACTCCAGAAACCTTGTATCAGCCTCACAAGATGGTAAACTTATCGTTTGGGATTCGCACACTACGAATAAAGTGCATGCCATACCGCTGCGTTCTTCGTGGGTGATGACACCTGTGCATACGCACCATCGGGAAGCTACGTTACGTTGCTTGCGGTGGCCTCGACAACATGTGTTCAATCTATAACTTAAAGACACGCGAAGGTAACGTACGTGTGTCCCGTGAACTGCCGGGCCATGGTGGCTATCTATCATGCTGCCGTTTCCTAGACGACAATCAAATTGTGACAAGCTCAGGAGATATGTCGTGCGGTCTTTGGGACATCGAAACGGGTTTGCAGGTTACTTCTTTTCTTGGTCATACGGGAGATGTGATGGCCCTGTCCCTGGCACCGCAATGCAAAACCTTTGTCTCAGGTGCGTGTGATGCGTCTGCGAAGCTATGGGACATACGAGAAGGTGTTTGCAAACAAACGTTCCCCGGGCATGAATCTGATATCAATGCGGTCACTTTCTTCCCTAATGGACAGGCCTTTGCGACAGGATCAGACGACGCAACCTGTCGTCTCTTTGACATACGTGCCGATCAAGAATTAGCTATGTATTCACATGACAACATAATTTGTGGTATCACCTCCGTTGCGTTCTCCAAAAGCGGCCGCCTGCTATTGGCGGGGTACGACGATTTTAACTGTAATGTATGATGGGACACCATGAAAGCAGAGCGCTCGGGCATTCTAGCCGGCCACGATAACCGTGTTTCATGTTTGGGAGTCACTGAAAATGGTATGGCAGTAGCAACAGGATCGTGGGACTCGTTTTTGCGCGTGTGGAATTAAATATCGTGCACAACGCGTATTAATGGGTGGGGTAGGGTCAACGTGGCGGTGATTGCGCGCAGTCAGCGTTTAGCAGTAGCGACAATAACAACAGCAGCAACAAAAACAAAATCCCCTCAAATAAAGGTGAAGATACATACATATTTCGCAGCAATAACATTTTTATGCTCTGATATCAATGGTTCCATGTTACTGTTATTTGGCGAAACGGGGACAGTATAGGAGGACCGCTTGATGTAGTAATCATGCAACCGCGATAATGAGGATGGAACACGGCGTTAACTGCAACGTAGACCACAGCAAAAACAAGAACTTTATATACAAATTATTTATATTGCTATATACTTATTATACTTATACAACAAACCAAAACACAGACATACACAGCAACATACAACTAGACATACACAGCAACATACAACTAGACATACACAAGCATACAAGTATATTATTAGTGTAAATGAAAAATACGAAACAGATCCCATACTGCGCTGTCGCTGATAGTCAGTTGTGTTTAGTCAGAATTCCGGTTAAAGCTACAGCTAAAAGTACGTAAAATTAGTTCAAATCGTCTACAAGTCATATATGGGCTGAGACCTTCGCTATATAGTAAAAACAAAATGAGTGTGCACCATATTGATTACTATGATAGCACTAGCACGATAATTATGGTAATAATACTGTAATATCCGTATATATGAGTATGAATAACGGATGATTCGTCAGTCTCATTTGCCAGTCTTCAAACCAAAAAATTCTTACATGACTACATACACGACAGAGAGTTGGTAATAATGAAGCAAAGTCAAATAAAATAAAAGCATTTACAAAAAAAAAAAAAAAAATCTGGTAGAAAACATAAAAGCTATAAATTACAAAATGTAATTATTAAAGAAATGAAGAAAATCAGTAAACAATACACTTTATAAAACATTTTTCTTATAACGTTTAAGTCCTTAATTTATATACAAACAAAGTAAGAATGATTTAAATAACATACTTATTAGTGAAAAAAAACTATTTACATATTTAATTGACGGCCATATAAGCTACAACAATAAATGGAATAATTAACTCTAAAACCTAAAGAAATTTATAAATGTTTAACGAAATCTTAACATATAGACTAACAGAAGTAACGGTCGTGAATGTACTACACTCACATGCATAACCAGTAGCAACATTACGTATGAATTTACAAACCTCGTGACCGGCACATTAACTTTATCAATTGTTACAGGATAAGAGTACTCGAGAGTTCATCATACTTAACTTTACCAGATGTGGAAAGAGTTGCAATTTAATATGTAGTTTGCTTATTGTTTGATCATAAGACACTAAGAGTTTCTCTATTATGACCTAAATTTCAACTGTTATTTTGTTTAAACATACATGCAACTTAAAAACCATTCATATTATACCGCTCAACGAGGATGGATAAAAACGTAAATAAAAAAGCACTTCATTATATACTTACTGAATTCAATATTTATGTTTCCTTTATATAGCTGGAAAGGCTTGCACGTCGAAACATACACAATGCTACGCAAAAATGATTAAGAACCACACGCTTTACAAAAGAAAACATAAATCGTTTAATTAGTAATTGCTGCAGGAACAGAATTTATAAGCTTATTTTTAATGTTTAACTGTTACACTGAACAGTGGGTACTATTAAAATTTAGTTCCGGTAAATGGCAAAAAAACAAAAAAAAAAAACCCAAAAATCACATGGGTGGGTATTAACACAATTCGAAATCTGACAATTTTGTAAAACTAGTCCGGTAAGTGGCATTGTGTGAAATGTTTACATTTTTATGTGCATAGCAGCTAATATTGTCATAAATTCAATTTTACGTTACAAACACAAATAAATAAATAAAATTGAAAAAAGTAAAAGTGTTAAAATAAAAGTTGCATTTGACACAAGTTTCGACTATGCATTTAAACTTAAGATAATGCTATAGCACAAAGCTTTTGGAATGTTTTTTGGTTAATATAAAAAAGAATTAATCCTTGTTAATTTCTAAATCTCTATACATATTTATATGTTTATATATACATTTAAATATACCTATTATACATATTTATCTGTTTTTTAGGTATATATATACCTATATACATGCAATACATTCTTCATTAAGTTTATATGTATTTGCCACAAAATAACATGCATACGTACAATGTACTTTTATTATGATTTATCTTGTGTACAATTTAATCAAAATCAAAAGTAATAAATACAATTATTGTCTGTAATTAGCTGAATTCATCAACAAAGAAAGTATACCAATAACAGAATGCGTATGGTATTATCAATAAACAAATAGATATGCAAAAGTAAAATACATGTTCACGTTAAAATTAAATTAAAAAATCAAAAATACAATTTGCCTACATACACATACATACAACTTATGTTGAATTGAGTTGAAATTTTTAAACAATGCGAATGAACATTAATTTTGTTAAGAAAACTTGGATCCTACTAGCTGCTTGAGAATTGCTTAAGTTGGTATGTCGTCATTGAAGGGGTGAATGAGGAATAGTGATGTATACGAGGCATATAGGTGTCTAGAGCAATAAATTAAAATCAGCACTAAAATGTGATAAGCAATTTGCATTTGTGTATTTGCACCGTATTCTCGATACTTTAGTGCGATTACTGACCTGTAAGTATTGACTCATGAATATAATAAATTGGGGTCAGCTAAGCTTATTCTATATCTATAAGTCCTTACTGGCAGGCTGAAGAAGACGCACGACCCTTCATTGCTTAGGGGTTAACAAGTAGCAATTCAGCAGAAATTTTAAAAATTTGTGAATCGAAATGGAATGGTGTCTTCATATTCATTCTAATCAAATATCTTCGCTTTCAAAAGTTTTGCTTTTGTGTTGTCCGAATAAAAATTAATTAGCAAACTAAACCAAACAGTAAATGCATTTTTACTTTATTATTAATTGTATTTTCAAGCTTGTTGCATTAGATATTGTCGGCAGCGTCGATATCTGTGTTATGTGGTCGGGCATTGAGGAGGCATTTGGATCAAAAGCTCTTTTTCAAAATACTTAATTAGCGATACTAAGGTTGCAAACAAAAATTGTAAACATAACGCCCGGCTGTCTACAGCTAGTTCTGCCGTTGCCCAAGAGATCAAAGACAACTTCAGAACATTTTCCATAAGAACCAACAACAACCATAATCAAAACAAACGACTTGACAATGAAAAAAGCACACCACAAATTCTGTCCTTGCTATCCCTTTTTGGTTTGAGGCTACAGCCTATGATCTTAGCTTCTGCACTATTCTAACTCATTGTTGTGGTTTCTAAGCACTGCTATGCCTATAAAAGTCCCAGTCATGTCTTCTTCTCCGCTTTCAACTTGCAAGCAGACAGGCAGGTTTTTATAATTTTTTATTTTTCGACCAGCGCAGCACCCTTTCTCTAAATAGGGTATTTCGACTATTGATCAGTGCTGTAACCAAATGGTACAAACCTTCTTACATATATACAAATTTTTACCCAATGTCTGAGTAAAATATAATTTCGTAATAAGTGTGCAACTGTTGGTACAATTCTTAATAATTGTTTTCTTTAAACATTATATACCATTTCTATAAATAAGGGTATTAAAGCCTCGACGGGCCAAATAGTTATTGGTAGTGTGTCTTAACTCACACATTTTGGTACAAATCTGCATGTATGTGTGTCTGCCAAGCCAAGGGAAGTATATGAATTTAAGAAGATTGC